CCATCGAGTTGACCAACGCCCGGGCGGGCTATCTGTGTGATGGTCTTGCCAGACAGTGCCACGAACTGCTTATGTAACAATGCGTCAACTCCCGAGGTCCGATACCAAGGTCGGCATCCGTAGTCTGCGCGAAGGACATGCGCCAGATATTCTGGCGATTGGAAACTGCGCAGGTTATGATTCTTAGATCGACTTCAGGAGGGCTCTAGAGTTGCGGAGCTGGACTTGTGTCAGGTAAATTGGCCCTGCTAGGCAAGCTAGCAGCGGAAGTCTACTGCCGCACTTCGTACGGTCGACCTGCCCTCGGACGTACTCTCCGGCACCGTTTATCGCGTTCGCTGGCACATGAACAAAGTTCAACCATTGCTGAAATGAGATCGCTAGGAGGCGCATTACTGTACAGAAGACCGCGCCTGCAAAGGAGATCGTCGCTGTCACGCACTGTTTGACTGCGGGTCATACCGATAGATTGATGATCTGCATATCCCCTGTACCCCACATACCTAAGGTATCCTCGTCGCTGAGCTATCTGACCCAAACTTAACAGCAGGTCTGCCCAATCAGATTATTCGATCGTTAGTCTATCGACGGTCGCTCCTTTAGGGTCGGGGTGCCTGTCAACCCGGTGGATAGATGGAACAACAAGACAGGATGATGCCAGACTCGAGGCCTCTGCCCTTACGCTAAATTATTCGAATTTGGGCACAGGATGTGTCAGTGCCTTGCGGCAACGATTCAGCTATGGTTGCTCTTGGTCAGAGCAGTAGGCTCCCTAAAAATGTCCCAGGTCTTAAGGCGGGACAAGCAACCGTTGCTGGCCGTCAAGGGCCTGCAGCCATCTTCTCAATATTTCCTTTATGTTTCTGTATCAGGTGTTCGCGGTCGTTTTATGGGCAAGTGCTTTCTGCTGCTCCGCGGATGCAGCCTCATCGAGCGACTCGGTAACAGAAGCACTGGCTCAGATTCCTCCATGTGGTGTAAGTTTTTCGTCAGACCAATTGAAATTTTAGCTGACCGTTGCATAGATACAATGTATTGCAGAGAAGGCGCCTCTCATCGGTTGCGGTCTCCTTGACCTTCAGTGCCAGTGCACATCGAAAAACTCAACAGCAATCTTGCAGCCGTGCTTGCTAGAGACCTGTACTTTTAATGAGACCTTTGGTATGTTTACCGCCACAATACTTCAGAATGTCGCTCACATTCTTGCAGAGATACTCCGCATACAGGCCACTATCTGCCACAAACCGCACGACTCGTACACAACTGGCGTCAAGGCCATTGCATATGTATCTGGCATAGTACCTATTCTTGCAGTCTCAATGCGCTTTGCATCGCGGTGGTTGGGTGGCAATAGTTTCTGGTGGGACGACTGGCTCCATCTAGCATCAGCCGTAAGTCTGCACCCAGCAGTCACCTTCAACACCACTAATGAATAGACAAGACTCTGACAATCCCGCTGACCGCCGTCATATTCGAGAATGCCGAAGCAGGACTTGGCAAACATCTATGGGACTTGACATATGACCGTGTCGTTGCGGTCTCAAGATGGAGTATGCCTCACCTACATGCATCCTGCGCAAAGCACTGACAAATGTACAGCTTACATTGCTACCGTCTTTTGGGCCTTCTCGTTACTAATTCTGAAATACAGCATATTGTGCATGTATCTTCGTATCTTCCCGAACGTCTGGTTGAAGCGCGCCATATACGCTTTTATGGTCTTCACGGCTTGCTTCACACTTCCCCTTATAGGACTGGCCGTCTTCCAATGCAATCCTATTAAGGCTGTATGGGACTTAGAAGCTGCAAAGACGGCAAAATGCGTCGACTGGATCACTGTTCTGAGATTAACAGTTGTCTACGAAGTCATTGCTGAGGTCGTTATATTCAGTCTTCCTGTTCCGATCGTTCTGAAACTACAGATGAAGACAGCGAAGAAGATCCAGCTCTGTATCTTCTTTGGACTCGGTGTAGTGTAAGTCTCATTCCCGTCCCCGTCGCAATTTTCTAGCGCATACTGATCTTGTCCTAGTGTCATTGGTGTATCAATTGCGCGAGTCCCGTTTCTTAAGGGAGTCATCGACCGCAGCGATCAAACCTACACCGTTACAGGGACAGCTATCCTCGGGTTCGCCGCTAGTGCAGTGGGTCATATCACCGCCGCGGTCCCCACGGTACGAGCCCTGATACGCTTCGTCATGAACGGCTTCAAGCATAATACCCAAGCCTCCTCGAGCTCTGACCAGGAGAACTCGTACGAATCGAGAACCAAGCGTAGCTATAAATCTTTAGAACATTCGAAGAACATCACAAACTACTCAGGCGACACAATTGGGGCTTCCACGGGGAGGAGTAAGGCATCTTGCGATGCGTCTGATCCATATATGCTCTCAGCAATTCATGGTCAGGAGGGAGCTGATACTTTTGTGGAGCTGCGGCCAGTGGAGACATTCGTTACCAAGCACACACAACCTGGCGGCCTACAGAGTCATCCCAGCGGACATGGCACTGTAAGTGAGATTTCGGGTCCTGTTCTGGCAGATTCAGCTTCCGATGAAGCTATTCTTACTAGGGACTACTTCAAGTAGAAGTGCTTCTTACCAGTATAGCAAGTCTATAACGCCGACTCTTTAATGAACTCAATGATTTACGATTCCTCCGCGCTGACGACGTTCTCGTAAAATAGCATGCTATATGCCTCCCAGCTGACAGTACAGGTGTTACATGAAGCACGATAGCATTGGTGATGAGCATCTGCAGAATAAGGTTCAATCTCTCAGGAGTGACGTCTTTGACCACCTGAATCTCCATAGCATCAGAATCCAAAGTCCGCAACAGAGGCTGACAAACACGCTTGTCGAGACAACGTCAAGATATCACAAGCTACATTCAGGAAATCCGAATTACGTCAAGGGTACAAAACAATTGGTTTGGCGCATCCTTCAGTAAGAAAGGCGCCTGTCCATATTAGGAAAGAGTCGACCCCTGTACGTGCATATGCCCAGCCCTTGCTTACATGGGCGCCTCACGTCTCCCATGAACAACGGACGAAATTCATGAACACAGTACCAAAGTTCCTGAGAGGGTTCAGCCGTCTCAATAGAATTCACTTAAGCTTGGTGAATGTAAGCACTAAATTATAAATCAAACTTGAGGGTTCTATGGCGGGCATGTGGAGGACATAGGTAGAGATGTATATAAAGTCATCGAGTATCACTTGAATTGAATCATCGCAACATCGAAACACACATCTTCAAGTCAATCAATCAAAGAACTAACAGCTCATCAAGCCAACTCACCCAACAAGCATCACCATCATGTCTGTTTATCTCATCACCGGAGCCTCCAGGGGTCTTGGAGTGAGTACAACTTGAAAACGCAACAAGATAATTGACTGATCACCCCCAGTTCGGATTCCTCAAGCAGGTATCATCGAGCCCAGAGAACCTCGTTATCGGTCTGGTGCGCAACAAGGCCGAAACCGAGAAAAAGGTCGCATCCGAGCTGAGCGACCGTGGCAACGTCCACATCGTCCAGGGCGACTTGGCCAGCTATGCAATTCTGAAACAGGCTGCCGCCGAGGTAACCAAGATAGTTGGCGACCGCGGTATTGACTACCTAATCGCCAACGGCGCTTATCTGTCCTTCATCGATGCATTCGATCCCATCGGGGCCCTGTAAGTCGTCCCTCTCCGTATGGAAACATCTCTGACGTGCTTGCCAGCGCCGACAAGGTAGAAGAGCTTGAAGACAACCTTATCAAACTGAACCAAGCCAACATTGCTGGCAACATCCACCTTTACAACCTCTTCCTTCCCTTGATCCTAAAAGGAAAGGCCAAGAAGGTTATCACCATCTCCAGTGGCCACGGCGACCTCGACTTCATCAACAACCTCGAGGTTGAGAACAGCGCGCTGTATGCAGCCTACAAGGCGGCGCTGAACGTCATCGTCGCGAAGTACAGCGCGCAGTACAAGAAAGACGGCGTGCTCTTTGTGAGCATCAGTCCTGGAGTTGTGGACGTAGGAAACTTCGACAATGGTATGTTTTCCGTGCTCGATCGTCGCGTTGTAGATGTAGCTGACACGGGGTCTAGTTACGCCAGAGCAGATGCAGGGTCTGATGGGCTTCATGGGGAAGATGGCGACTTATGCTCCGGATTTCAAGGGCCTTGTGCCCGTGGATGAAGCTGTCAAGATAAACGTGGCGCTCTGGGAGAAAGTCAGCATTGAGGACGGATACGGCGGTGCGTTCATCTCGCATCTTGGAAACAAGCAGTGGGTGTAGACCTTGTGGTGGAGCAAGTGAGAGGAGCTTATGGACGGCGCCATGGGTAGAAGCGTCGTAAATCGGCAAATCTGACACTCGTTAATCAAATAATAATTCCACTGTCGAGGCAAATCAGCTGTTAGTGCATTGAGGCAGTGTATGGATCAACTAGGAAACGCCACTGCACTTCGTTAGCTGAGCTGGCCCAGCGAAAGCCGTATTCAATTGAGCAGTTCAATTCATGTTGGTTCAGCGCAGGTAGCCTCATAGCTCTGTAATCCAGCTGCTTATCTTGTTGGCCGCATTTGCTCCCTCCAAAGCCCTAGGTGGCTGCCGAGGTGCAACGCGTCTGCAGTATGTGGTGCACACTCAGTGGGAGTTGCAGGGAACCAGAGAGCTGACATTCACTGTCTGCATGGGCGCTATCAATTCCTGGGATGCATCTCGTGTAGATGAGTGACGTCAACTGGGTTGACGTTGATGGCCAAAACAACAGCAACTCAACAGGCCTTCGTCCAGTGTATTCACCAGAGTGATCCACCGCATTCAGTAGATATCTCGTAGAATCACAGAAGTCACACAGAGAATCAGTGCCGCCCGAGCTGAACAGAAGTCTTGTTTGGTCTCCCCACCTGTGTTTACACTCATAGCACCGGCCTTCACTTGAATTCCACTCCCTAAGCTAGATGCTATATACACTAACACCACCCACATCTCCATCAAACATGACAGTGTGCGTAGCTCAGTGGTTAAAGCGCTTGCCGGAAGGCCTAGGCTCCGTTGAGAGCGAGTCTACTCGCTCTCAATGGACCAAACTTCGAAGCGAGAATCGCGTGTTCGATCCACGCCGCGTCAATTTTTATTTATTTTGTTGTTATTCAATAGGAGCGTATGCTAGACCTGTCTCATGGCTAAATGACGAGACCAGCTCACTACATACCACTTACTGTACATGGGCTTTGAACCTGGTAAGCAGCGTGTGGGTACTTCCTTGCGATCGAGGCTACACACGGGGGATAATATTCGGGCAGGATTTCCATGGATCGTGGATCATGGAATGGCATTAACTATTGAGAAGGATAAATGTATGCAGTTAAGTATGCGAGAGAATAGCAGTAGAAACAATGTACCAGACAAGTATTGTCCGTCTGTGAAGGTTGACTTGCGTCTGAAGATCTTGCATCTCGACCTCTTCCCCAGGCCCTGCCCGCATTATACAGCGTAACATACCAAGTGGCGTTTTTCCGAATCGAATATTAGGTATTTGGGTGGTAGGCCGGGCCACGGTGCAAAGAAAGAGCACGCATAGCCTCTTGGCTTACTCCTCGTGTGGGAGCCAGGGCCTCCAGAACTTCCAGCCTTCGCGCACCTCCCTGGTGAGCCGTCTTCGAGGGCCTGCAACGCCTACCAGCCTCTCTATCCCGACTGTGCCCTCGGCCATCAGGAACTTCTCCTGGTCAATCTCCTCTCCACCCTCCTCTTCGTTGCCGTTATGGAGCACAGCAGGCCAGAGAATGCCAACACCGTCGCCGGCAAGCGTGGTCTCGAACTTCTCGAAACCCTCGTTCTCGAGCTTGACCTCGAGGGAGTCCAGGATCTTGTGCTTGAGCTTCGTACCGTTCGAGATGATGGATGCGGCGCAGTCAGCTTCGGAGGAGACGTCTGATTCATCAGAGGAGAGATCGTGGTCAAGGGTGTGGCCGTTGGCGAGTGCTGGTGGCTTGGGCTTAATGATGGAAATGGCGCACCCTCCGCCGCCCGCTCCGGTGAGCTTTGTCCAGCCAATGCCCGTGTGATCAATGAGCTCGCGAACGCGCTCTAATTTAGGGTGGGAAACACCGAGCGAAACGAGCAAGCCGTGATTTATAGTCACAAGCTCACCGAGATGTTTCAGCGAGGCGTGCGACGTAGGGTCGAAATCTGGGGAGTTGAGAAGCTTGTAAGCGGACTCGGTGACCATGCCAATCGATTCGAGGATGTTCTCCACAAGCGCAGGGTGGAGCGTCCTAAGCGTGGCGACTTTGGCAACTTCGGTGGCCGTACTTCTGGACTGCCGTGTGTTGACCAGGAGCAGTGGGAGCTCGGGGAAGTTGTGAAGCGGTTCAACACGAGGTGGCTTTCCCTCTCCCATCTTCTGGTACAAGACTGCCTTTCCGCCTGATGAAACTGTGTTGTCGATGCCCGACGGGTTGCCGTGAATGCACATCTCTCCCACGAAAGCCCAGCGATTGATGCGCTCAATGTTCAGTTCGCACTCCTGCGGTGGCTGGTCCTGATGAGGTCCACTTAGAGCACGGATCTGCATAAGAAGCGCGGCACTCAAGCAGACAGAGATACTAGCGCTGCTGCCCAGGCCTGCGCCGATCGGTATTGTTGAACGCAATGTGTACACGCATGGCGGTGTTTTCCTAGAGGCGAGCGAAAGGAAGAGGTACAAGAAGGAGCAGGCCGAGGCGTGCTGGATCTTGCGTATCGACTCAGAGGCTTTCGGCGACACTTCATCGATGAAGGGTTGGATGGCGGCCATGAGGTCAGGGTCCAGCGCGATCACCTCGTCGTAGTAGTACTTCTTCTTTCCCGATTTCGAGAAGGCCTCCCACGGTAGGTCGTCGATGTTCCAGGTGTGCTCCATCTGTATGTCGGGGAAGCGCAGCTGCACGGTGCGGTTCGACTTGGACAGGAACGAGACGTGGAGGTACGAGCGCAGCGAGATGGCAGCGGCAATCGCAGCCTGCACACTGTTAACATTGTGCCCTATCGTCAGCAAGACGAGTGGTGTACCTTGCCATGCACGACAGCGTGCTCTCCATACACAATGACCTTACCCGGGGCGGACACCATGAATGGAGGCATCATCGGCGACGACTGCTTCCTCTTCAAGGGGGGCTTGGGAGACGTCGAGGATGCTGGCGAGGGCATTATGGAGGTCAATTGCGCGCGCGCGGGGTCGGCGGGGGAGGTATCAGAGGCTGAAGAGGACCGCGACACTGAGCGCTGTTGGTGTGTGAGCGTCACTGCCGACCCGAATTAGCTACAAGTTCCAAAGCCTTTATACAACCCCAACCCAACCGATGCTTTCACTCACAAGGCGAGGCAAAATTGGCTCTGCGAGCGCTACCGTTCACTGCTGCCATGCCCGCGTGTTGAAGAGGGCGTTCTTTGTGTGGGGTAGAAGATGACAGCAGGCTTTCTCAGGAGGCGTCCAGCGTTGGCGTTGAACCTCGACATTCATTACATACATAGGGCGATCCTCTCAGGGCGCACTAGCCTTGCCTTGATCAACTGACGCCCCAGCCCGGCTGCAGGAACGGTCGGAGCGACCGCGGGCACTGCACTGATCCCTGTCGACGGCGCCCTCGCCCTATGGCTGGTTCTAATTACAAAGACGTTGGCGTGCAACTTTGGCGTCGTCACCGTACAGCTGAACGTTGTACACACGCGCGAGCTGCAGCTCAAAAAAAAGCAAGCGTCGGCCTTTTGCCTTGCAGTGCATGACAACAATAGGTAGAAGGAGCGCCATCCCAGTCTCGCTTCGTTCTAGCCCTCGAGGCTACGCTCTTTCAGCTGAGGCAGTGCTGGCCGCCTGCCTACCCAGGTGTTGGCTTGCGACTGCTGCTATCATACAATCGCTGGACATGGAATCTGTACATATCAATCTATCTGAACGACATGGCACAAGTTGGACTGTTGTATTCATTGGCCTCAGTAGGGCCTTTGAATTGCCGGCTTACGTGTATTTTGCGGGGGCACCGGAAGACACTGCCTCGCCAGCAACGCAACAACTTAGATAGCAGCCTACGTTATCGTGTACACCCAGCCTTTCAATTGAGCAGACTCAAAGTTTAAGCAGGAGTAGCAAAGGTCCGTGTCCCATTTAGTGTGTACTGCAGGATTGTAGGTTTATCGAGAAAGCAAGTTGCCTGATTAGCCTTGACTGCTTCTTGTTTCTTTCAAGGGAATCCTTTCAGAGGCTTCGGTGGGCGGTCAGAGGTGACAAGATGCTGTATATACACTCCTTACGGACTGTTCGTGCTTAATGGCGGAAGTCTACAGTCTAGTTGTACATACAATGTAGCTGCAATACTCGAGTACAGCACCTTACTAGCTCTAACCAGACACTTTCGCACTTTAAAGGGTTCAATAAGAAAAAGTTAGGAATCAAGGATGTCCAATGGACAATGCAGCCATCTCAAGGACAGTCCTCATTGTCTAGCATCCGCCAATCAGAGTTGAAGTACTACTGGTGGAGGAGTAAAAGCGTTGTGAACTTCTGTCATGCGAGAGAAGGGTGGCCGAGGCGTCCCCACATGTGGATCGAACTTTTAGCGCGTCTCTCCACCAAAATTTTGGCAGACTTCCGTGAGCGCTCCTACAGCACCACTGGACTGGAGCAAACAGACGTCAAGATGGGTCTCGCACAGCAGAAGAAGTATGGCGCTTACCTAAACTGTGGTCACGATTGTAGACCCTTACAGCTACTGACCATCGAGCAGCCGAAGCAAGATCTCCAATGATCCGCAGAACACCCACTGGGCGAACAACACCGAGCGCTTCGGTCACAAGATTCTAGCTTCGCAAGGATGGAAGGCTGGCGATACTCTCGGCGCTAAGGATGCTGCCCACGAAGCGCACTACACGCAGGCGTCGCAGTCGCACATTCGCGTCTTCCTGAAGGACGACAACCTTGGCCTGGGGGCGAAGCGTGGGAGTGAGCGCGCAGAGAACTTCGGCCTCGCTGGACTGGAAAGCATCCTGGGCCGCTTGAATGGGAGGGAAGAGGAGGTCAAGAAGGAGGAGGCCAGGCGCGAGGAGATTGAGAAGAGAGCCTACGTGTTCAGGAAGTTCGGCTCCATGAACTTCATCAGCGGTGGCTTCCTTGTGGGCGACAAACTGGTGCCTAGGTCAGAGGTCAAGTTAGAACCCAAGATCAAGGAGGAGCCCGACAGCGACGATGGCGCAGGCAAGAAGCGCAAGCGCGAAGCCGCCGATGCTACCGAGGACGGCTCCAGCGACCAGAAGCTGAAGCGCAAGAAGAAGAGCATGGACTTGCGCGATGAGGCAGAGAAGCAAGACAAGAAAAGCAAAAAGGAGAAGAAGGACAAGAAGGACAAGAAAGACAAATCCAGCAAGAAGATCAAGAAGGAGAAGAACTCGTCCGACCCCGAGCCGATGTCTGATGATGCGCCCACACCTGCGTCTGACCCGGAGCCCCTCACAGACAAGGCGAGACGGAAGGCAGAGAAGAAGGCTCGCAAGGAGGAGAAGAAACTCAAGAAGGCTCTCAAGAAGGCTGCGAAGGCCGCAAAGAAGTCGAAGGATGACGATTCCAGCTCCGAGAGCAGCGACGACGACACAACACCCAGCTCCTCGGTCCCAGCAACGGGCGCATCTACCCCTAGCTTCGTGCCGAGAGGTGTGCAGACCGCTAGGCACAGGCATATTATGATGAAGAAGCGCGCAAGCATGGATCCGCAGGCACTGAAAGAAGTACGTGACGAACTGCTCCCTACGCATTTGTGCATTGCTAACCCGCAAACTCAGATTTTCATGATCAAGACCCCGGTAGCGTAGCGTGCCCTGTTTCTTTCGTGTGCATAGCGAGGCGTTTGGCTGAAAGCTAGGAGTACTTCAGGTGTTATCGGCGGGTGATGTACAATTACAAACAACATTAAGATGGTTACACTGTTTATTGACTGCGTTCTCTTTCTTCCTTTTCATTTTTGAATCCTTTAAGAGACCTCATTAGTCAACACCCTTCCTCAAGTGTTGTCCCTGTGTCGACTACCTAGTCGGCTGACACTATTGGTCAGCAACGTGACCACGTGCCTTATCTCTCACTATATCCTTCCTTCCTC